GGGTTGTTCCTGCCCAGATGCAGGACTCATTTTTTCTTTGTTTTCCTCCACAAGAAAGTGCTGTTGGGCTACAGTAGAAAATCCAGACTAGACTGCATGTGTACATTCGCGCTCAGATTTTGTATCTGTTCAATTGCACAATATAATTTTGAGGCAGTTTTCACTGGTATTGTCCATTTTCCCCAGTAGTGGCTACAGTTGCTTTGTCTGGCCTGCAAGCTGCTCCTACGCCTGCCATCACAGGGAGATCTGAGATGAGTAAGAGTAAGATCTGCCACTCTTTGCAGTGATTTTCTTAGACGTCTCCGTGTCTCTCCCTGTCATCCATCACTCCCAAAAGATTTATCAATCCATGATCACAGTATTGCATCATCATCACGTTAATTTAGGTATCGCAGTAGAGCATCACACTACAGTGCTGTGGTGGTTCGCAGGAGGTAGTTTTAGCATCTTTTTGATGGGAAGGCTTTTCCAGCATGAAGGACATCACTAAATCACCAGAACCAGGTGGTTCCAGTCAAGATCTAATGAGGTTTTTGTTTTTAATTGCAGTGAAAATGTGCATGTAATAGATAAGATATCTCTAACTGACATCGTTAGTCACTATCTAGTACGAACTATGATTATATTTCCCTTTGCCAAGCTGACTTCACTTTTTTGATGAAAAGCTGAAAAGTTTGGGTTGAAGCTGACACGAAGAGTGTCTGGAAGAAGAGAAACTTTAAATCTTAAATTTTCTTAAATCTTGAAAGTAATCTGTATGTGCGTCCCTTCACAGGGGTGCTGCAGCCCCCACTGTTAGGCACTAAGTCTCTTCATCACTCTTCACTGCCCTGGTCTCCTGCAGGAGAAGAAAATGCCTCCCTTCATGTCTCTGTGTTTGGCTTAGGAAAAACTGGAGCCATGCATAGAGAAAGGGTTAACTGGTACCTTTAGGGGAGGAAGGACAGGTTGCTGCTTTGCTTTTATGTGTGACCTTAGAGAAGGAGCTAAACAAAGGTGGACAAAACCTCTCTGCCTTTTCTGAGGGAGAAAATTTTTGCTTTGTGCCTACAACTTTGAAGCTCATACATCAGGTTAACATAGTTAAATCAGGGTTTATAAACCTTCCTTCCGTCTAATACCTCTGGCTTTCCTCTACTGCCCCCCTCATAATCCTGTCAGGTTATGAAAAGTTTTGCTAGAGGGAAAAATAGGTTTGTTCATTCAGTCATGATTAATGCAGTAGTATTTATATATACAGATGGACCGATTTCCACAAGCAGTTACATGGATGTCTGCATGTACATTGGTGATTGCAGAAGATGGTCTACACATTCTCCAGTTATCTTGTGCTCAGCAGTGCCCCTATATTCTTGCAAATTCTGCTCCCAAGTGTACTTTTAAATCACATATTTCTACTTATTCTGTCATTGTGAATAGAATTATTTATGCCCTGCAGGCAGTAGCTTTTTCCATCAAAGTTCCTTTTCCTTCATCAGAAAACTCAAAGCACTGAGTCACACAAGCACTGGGCAACTGAAAAGTAGATGTTTGATCTCAGAATGGTTGATTGAAAGGGTTTAATAAAACTTTTACCTAAGTCTAATGGGCATTTTAAAACAGAAGCCTCAGATGAACAGTGTTTCCACTGTTGGCATTTGGTTTGCCCAAAGAGAAGGAAGCACTGGATGCCTTCTCTGAGAAGTGATGCACAGGAGACGGTGATGGTGTGAACCGGTTCTCACTCTTGGCCTGAAATATTCTCCCTGTAGAAATACAAAAGTGTAAGGAACCAGACAGCAAAGATTTGTCCTCTTGTGATACAGTCGCTGTGTTACAAGGGGGCTGGTGGAGGAGAACACAAGGTGCAAATCATGCTCCTGTTACTGCCAGGTGGTGCCCACATTTGACCTGAGAAAGCTCTCGGCAAGCCCCAGTCCCTGCCAGTGTCCCATCCTGTGGGCACTGTGCTCACCAGGGCTGGTGAAAACATGGGTGTTGGTCATAATTAGAAAATGAGAAATCGAATGGGGATTCACATAATGTAGAATGGTGCAGCTACACCTTTTATTTACTCCCTTTTTTCCCAAGAAAATAGGTATTATGGAATCTGAATTTAAAAACCTTTAATAAAAAGAGGAAGCTGGAAAGATAATTACCTGTAGCAGCTTAAACAGTCTGCAAAAACATCTCTTGTAGAGGAAGTGTCTGAAACAAAAGGAAGTGTCTTCTTTCTTACAGTTTCTGTGATCCCGAGAAAGATGGACACAAGAATAATGAATATAAAGATGACGTAATTGGACATGTGTGTGGCCAGGATACCGAGGAGCTGATTCCTGAAACCTCTGTTCCTATCCCAAGAAGCAAGGAAGATGCTTGGATGGAGGAGGAATACAGGACTAAATCTCCAAATGGTGACACTCTAATAAAGCATCCAGAGCCTGCAGCTCCTCGGGACCAGGTAACATCCTCCCACACCTCGTTAGCTCAGCCTCACCATGGGGACAAAGATACAGCCAAAGATTTAAGCACAGAGGACGCGTCCGTGCACAACGGCCAAGAGGATTTTCTCCCCGAGAGAGGGACGGATCTGCCCAAAAGGAGACTGCAGTCTGCTGCAGACCAGCGGTACGAAGAGCTTGCCATGGAGATCATTGCCAAAGACAGTTCTCTGGTGGATATCCTCATGCCTCGTCCTGTTAGAAAAACTGCTCTGGACCTGATGGAGGGTCTGTTTCCTGTGAACATTTCCATGCTGGATAAATCACACAGAAAAAAGGGAGACGTGCAGCACGCACAGGAGAATGAGTAAGTAGACTAAACCAATTATCTAGTATTTTAAGCTATTTTAGTGTACAAATATTGTGTATATACTTGTAGTGAGATGAGCATATATTTTTAAATGTTTGTTTAATCAGCAAAATATTTTAGCTTTCTGATTTACAGATCAAGAATTATTTGAGTCTATGGGTGTACAAAGGAAGAAATGTGGTTCAGTGATACTTATTAAAAGAGACTGGGACAAACCTGGGCTGCAGATCTTTTGCTCTGTATCTTTTAAAAACTCAGAAAAAGTGCTCCTGTGAGAAGAGAAGAGAGTGGTTCTGAAATAAAGATGGATAAAACCATGAACACAATGTTTGAGAACAAAACTCAAGTGTTTTGAAAATAAAACAAGCGTTTGCCACAGGTATTTCTTTTCTATTCCAACAGCAGGAAAAGTAGTCAAGATGCAGCAGAAGAATGTCCTGAATGTGAGCACGACGCCAAGCAAAGGAGCGAAGATCTCACCTCTAAGGGAAGCCAAGTCCTGGGCAGGAGCAGAGGCAGCACAAGCGATCTAGATGACATTACATCCAAGAAAGTAGGTAGATGGCCATCAGAGGAACCGCCGTTCCTTCACCACGACAAAGAAGTTATTATTAACGTCACATATATTACTGTGATGTTCACTAATTTTATCCCAGTAATGTTTTACAGATAACTTTGAATCAGTTTTTCCCGGTAGGTGAAGTTCTGGCCAATTGGCATATTGATTGTAAGAGGTGGTGTTCAAATCCTGCCTGGTTTGATGCAGATCTCTCCTCCCACATGGTGATATCTCCAGCAGGTCACTGGGGAGGGGTTGTATCTGGAATAAGCACGCAGGATTGTTTTTTACAAGGAAAACCATCTCTCTACATCTCTTTGCAAGGCCAGTTCCTGTGCAGCAGCTGACTCACAGTTTAACACTCAAATCTGTTCTTAAATTGTAGCAGATTCATTACAACTGGCAGCCTAAATAAAGAATATTTTTTACTCTGAGAGAACTGGCAGCAGTTTCTGCACACTAGAGTGCCCTGTTCATTTCCATAGGTGCAGGGAGTAGAAGTAGCTTGGACGTAGCTGGACTGCAATAGAAATACAGCAGCTCTGAAGGGCAATATGTAGCTTTGAGGAATTAGATAATTGACGTTTTTCCCTCTAGAAACCTGGCCATGCTCCATCCCAGGTAATGCCAATCTGCCTTCCTGAAACTCTTCCTGCTCTGCACATGGTGGTATTTCTCATTGCCAGCTGTCTATCTGCTGCTCCTCTTCTCAAAAAGCTGATAGGGCTCTTCTCCCACTCTGGTCTTGGGGCCTTTTTCCCTATTGACATTTCTGTATCACACAGCTTCACTTGCTTCACTACCCAGGCACTGGGGCTTTCCTAAATCACCCCTGGAACTGGCTTTTTCTGAGAATATTATGAATGAAATTCCAGTTGGTTCTTGCAGAGCTTGGTGACAGCACTCAAGTCGTAGAGCATAACCGTGTGTAATCGTGTTGTAATCTTTATTGCAGTTCCTTTCTGACTGCTGGGAAGCTCTCTGAGCTAGGGATTATATCACCAGTTAAGGCGATTACCAGTAATTTGCTTTTCAGGGTTTGAGTATTAAGTACAGCTTACAAGAATCTTTCCTGTTTTTTTTTTCTTTCTCAGAGCTTAAAATTATTTCAAAACTCCAAAGTTTGGTGAAGACAACACGAGGAAAATTCGTTCTCTAGAAATGATACGGATTCTCTTTGGCTGTAACAGCTTTCTATGATTATTTTGTTTCCCCGTTGCAGCTGGAACTCATCTCCAGCCTCCGGTCAAAGCTGCAGGCGCTGTGGGAGGAACGGGAGCTGGTCCTCTCTGAAGCCAGGGAGTGCGCGGAGCGAGGCGAGGAGCTGGAGGCGATGGTGAGGGGCGTCTGCAAGCCCAACGAGTTTGAGCGCTACATGATGTTCATCGGCGACCTGGAGAAGGTCGTGAGCCTCTTGCTCTGCTTGTCCAGCCGCCTCGCCCGAGTCCAGAATGCCATGAGGAGGATCGATGGCAACACAGATGCTGAGGAGAAGGTGAGTGACAAGCGAGCAAGAGAATTAATTTGTTCTGCTCGCTTTTTTCCAGATGGGGCTGTGCTCACCTCATTTGTCTGACAGCTCTAAATGAATTTGGGAAATGATACCTGAATCCCGAGCAGCTGCTGCTCAGGCTGTGTCTCCATGGCTGAAACAGAGTGGGGCTCTGCAGCTGGGTGCTGGGGTGGCAGCAGCAAAGCCTGTGCTTCAGGGGGCGTTTCGTTGTTTGGGGTTTTTTTCCACTGGTAATTTCAATGCGGTAATTACTGCCTTTGAAATTGTATTTCACTGAATGGGCTTGTCTTAACTATAGCAAAGAGGAAGAAGATGTGGTTGTAACTTGAGATAAAATGCCCTGTAGTTTAACTCAACTCGCCAGTTTTGCTGGAAAATTAGGAATTATCTCATGTCACCAGGAAACCTTTTCAAGTCTGAAATACACTTTTTTTTTTGCTACAGAAGACAAGTCAAACTTATCCCAGGAATGATGCTTTCCTGCTGTCATTATTGCTTTTAGACGTGTTTATCAATGCAATACCTGCTGATCTCTCCCACTGGGAAATTAGAAAAGCACAGAGTTAGAAAAGCTGGGATTTCCCAGGGCTGTGCTGCTGCCCCCACAAAGCTCTGGGTTCATGGTAGCTCATGTGCAGAAGGACACCAAGAGTCCTGCCATGCAGCATGATATAGGGAATCAGGATCCGCCTGCTCCAAAATGCCTCTCCTGGTAACATCAATGATTTTGAGCAGGATTTCACACTGACTGGCTTTGTGGGTGGTGGGGTGCTGCTGTTTCTTTTGCGTTATGTTTCTACTCTTCATAGTAAATAGGTGAAAAGAATTTATTCAAGAATTTGAATAAAATGCTCATTAAAGATTTGGTTACTCTCCAGCATTTTTCCATCCATCTCCCAGTCACTGCAGTTGCCCCAGCGTTAGCAGAACCAGCAGTCTCAGTCTTCGACTCCACGTTTTGGGTGTCGATGGTGACTGTTGCTCTGTGCATATAGAATATAGATTCACGGACACTGACCTGAGACTGGACATTTTCCAGCAGTGCTATCCCTGTGAAAATCATTACAGCTGAAAGAGAATTAGCCAAAATGTGAAAGGTATTAAAATCCTGCAGAGCAGGCAAGGTTTGATTCTTGTGGGCTTGATAAAAAGAAACCTTTGATGAACAGTTTCTGTCTGCATCAAAGTTGCTGTCTCTCACGCACCTTTTAATGGAAGTCACACCATCTTTTTGATATGACATTGGCACTCTGGCCACAGGCAACCCACAAAATACCGAGATATGTGCATTAAAAGAGCTTCTAATTGAATGAAGACAGATGCAAGATACTGTAAAGTTACCAGAATGTTAAGTATATTGATTATTTTCCTGAGGGCAACATGGAAGAAGTGAGCCTTGATGGGGTCTACTGGGTGTCTTTATCTTACAAGCCACAAGAATGAGTAATTCAATCGAGAAAAAACTCCCGTGGAGCACAAAGCCCACAAGAGGAAGTAATTAAATTAAATAGGCTGTGGCTTCCAAATGAAGACCTGGAGTCTGCCAGGAATGATGAGTTTTCACAGTGTGCTGCTTTGTTTTTCTCATCCCATTAGCAATCGCTGAACGAACGGCACCAGCTCTTGTCCAGGCAGCGGGAAGATGCAAAAGACCTGAAAGAGAACCTGGATCGCAGGGAGCGGGTCGTCTCGGGTATCCTCGCCAAATACCTGACGGAGCAGCAGCTCCGGGACTACCGACACTTCGTTCAGGTCAAGACCTCCTTGCTGATTGAACAGAAGGACCTCGAAGAGCAGATTAAATTTTTCGAAGAACAGTTAGAAAACCTTGAGAAAAGCATCCCCCTCTAACACCCACCGACAGACCTTCTGCTTTTACACATCGCAATTTGGGGTGTTTCCTGGGAATCCCCACGCACTCGGTTTGGTGAATTCTTGCCATCCTGTTCGTGCCACGGTATTGACAAGTGCTGGGTGCTGTGCAGATGCTCTAGCCACACGCTGGACATACCATCCCCATTGAGCCCAGCTGACAGCATCCTACAGTGTGCACCATGCTGCATTTTGGAAACGACAGATAGGACGTGTTGGTCCTATTAACTTGGCATGTATTTCTTATTGTCTGTCCATCTGTTTCCAGATTGACATAATCTCAATAAAAGAATGATGCAAATATTTTCCTCTTGTAGGTGGGTTGAGTGTTTGAAATGAAAAATGATGTGGGTGTTCAGATTTGAATTGGAGATTGCACAGAGCCATAGGAAATGTTATGGACTGTTTCAGTGGAACTCCTGCCCTCGTTTCTGCTGTTCATGTGCATGACACAGTAAAAATACACTGTAATAGAAGAAAATAATTAATTCCTTTCTTGGCAGTTGCCATCCATGGGTCTTTCATGGCTCAGCCTACTGGGACTATGCAGATCAGTGGTGGGTCTTACGAGGGCAGAAAGAAGGGTGGTCCTCCTCAGCATCAGAGAGACCTAATGAGTGATGAAGCCAGCTTAAACCAACACTTCTGGGAATGAAAACCTCTGAAGTTATTCCTGCACAGTCATTTGCAAAGTCCTCGCTATGCCTTTGAAGTGTTTACTTCCCAAGCAGCACCTCCAGGGGTTTGTTTTCAGGTAGTTTTCAATTGTCAGCGTGCACAAGAAGTCCTGAACATAGGAGGAAAGCTCTGCTGCAGAGGGAGGTAGGTGGGACAAGTGGGGGAGATTATTCAGTTTTAATGAGGCTTTATATAAATCCCTCAGCAAAAATCCTTCAAACTAATGTTATGTGTTGAGTCAAACCAGTGATGTTGCTGTATTTAAAACCTGAGTGTGGTTTCTTTCCTCCCTTTGTTTGTTTTGAAGTATTCAGTCTGAATTGCATACCTAGACCATGAATAAGGCAGCTGCTGATCCAAGCCAGGTTTCTCCCACAGGCAAAATGGATTTTCATTGTTTCATGATGGTAGGCTACAGGAGGGAGTGTTTTACTGGTGGTGTGTGTCCTGACTGTCATCCCACTGAGGGAAGCTGTTCCTGAGGCATCTTCTCCTTTGAGATTGCAGGAGCTTTCAGTAAACACACAGCCACCCAGCATGGGGAACTGGCGTGGGTTTAAATTGATGGTTTGGGTTCGTTTCTCTCAGATCACATTCCTCAGCTGAGTTTACCCACCAGGCAACGTGAATGAAGTGATCAATGACAGCGTACAAAAAGGAGACCGCTGTATGCGTTCTGCATGAGCGGTGTTTTTTAAGGATGACTCGCTGATGCTCTGCCTGCTGGAAGACGGCACCAAAGAGGGATCAATGTAGGGTACGACGTGCTACACGACAGCGCAATGAACCACAAATCACTCACCTGCCCCCGAGGAAATATATTTGAAGCAGAGCATGCAAGTGGACGGTACACAGCTGCCGTGTGTGCTTGGTTATTGCCTCAGTACATGGGGGAACATGGCCAGACACCACAGGTCCTGTGAGTAGAGCTGCTCAGTGTTCTTCAAAGGCCACAAATGCAGGCTTTTAATATGTAAATACGAAGGCTGCCTTTTGAACGGTGTGTTTCAAATAACAGAAGTGATGCTAAGGGAATCAGTGGAGAGTTTAAAAAATATGGGCTATGTTAGATAAGCTGTTTGCATTCTTTGAGAAGCCTGACCTGAAGGCATGCTCTATTGTTGTTATTATTCCTGGTTGAGGAGAGCTGTTTGCATTCTCTGAGAAGCCTGACCTGAAGGCACGCTCTATTGTTGTTATTATTCCTGGTTGAGGAAATTCCACCTGCTTGGAAATGAATATTTGATAATTGAAGCTAATGTTTGCCTTTAAGGGCAAGAATGTGTCTGCACTGTTTGGTTTCTCTTATCTTTTTGCTCTTTTGTGTCACAGGGAGAATGATCGCTGCTCCTACCACACTGACATACACAGAGCTTCAAAGAGCAGCAGTTCGAACTGACTTTTACCCTGTTTTCCAAAAAGTCACAGATCTGTGCTCCTTGTGACTTCGTTAGGACTGTCAATGTCGGGCAAAGTGAAAAATGGATGCAGTGCTGACATCAAAACCCCTTTGCTGGCAAGCAGAAACCCCCTTTCCAGAGCACCAGCAGCTCTGGATCGCTCAGGTGGGTCTGGATTTTTATATTGGTCATTCATTATCAATTTATTACCTGGGCCAAGCCCGAGGTAACAGTGGTAGTTCACACTGGATGTAAGTCATATGCTGTGTTCCTGGCACACCTGTGTACTAAGATGTAAGCTTTTAAAATCTCAATCTGATGTGCAAACACAAATAATTTAATCTAATCCCAGATGAAAGGTGAGGAGCAGCCCTGGGTGCTCAACTCTTCGGTTGCTCAAAGTGTCATTACCTGCAGGAGGACGGGATGCTCTTGTTCCCAGAGCTGGGCTTGCATCTCCTTTTGGCAGCCTGGAGCGGTGCTGAGGTGGCCAACAACGTCCTCAGGAGAGGTCAATGCTCTTTACATCTTTGCTGCTGGGCGAGAGGAGCCCGTCTCCTGTTGCAGCCCACAAGCCTGATGCTGTCTGAACACCCCCAGTAGGAGGTAACCAAACCCCAGCACCGTGGGTGGACTGCTATCAGAGACCTGCACTGAGCTGTCTGTATGAATTAATTACAGCTACACCCAGGAGAATGCAAAATTAACAGTGTTGAGGAGAAGGGAAAAGGTGACACAGGCAAAGTGTGGGAGCCTGGGGCTCCCCCATGGGGTGCCATCTGCGGGGAGGCTGGTGGGATCCCAGGAACCAGCTCTGCAACTCGTTTGGCCATCCACGCACCAGCAGTGTGGGGGAAGAAACTGCAGTAGCTTCTGTTCTGCTAAGCAAAAGCAGGTGGGCCTGATTTTGGGACAAAAAGATGCCTTTGTTTGCCCAAAGCCAGAGACGAGCAGGAGTTTTGGGTTGGGATGGAGCGAGCGGTCAGTGGAAGCAGTGTGCATCGTGCCTGTCTGACAGTGTCTTGACAGCGACCGCAGGGATTTTGGACATAGCAGCACATTTAGAATTTGATTTAACACCCACTGCAATGTGTGGGAGTCACTGCTGGATCAGGAGCTGCTGTTTCAGCCTCTCAGGCACTAAATTGATGGATTTTCTTTTTTTATTTTTTAAACCCAGACCTCGTTTTCTTCACTGGGGAGTTAACGCTGAGGGACTTTTGCATGTGGAGCTAATAAGGAATAGGGAGGTGCAGGGGTTAACGCAAATGTACTCTGCAAAAGATCTGCTTGGCACTTGTGAGAGCTGCGTTTAATAAGTAGAAGGATGTTCTCTCTGCTTTGGGAATTCATGGCAACCATCTGAATAAAATTTCAAAAATAAACCCAGGGCAGCATTGCAAAGCTAATCTATGCCTGAAGGGAGCCCACGTATACATTAAAGAATAATCAGGCTGTGGGAATCACGCAACCTCTGGGTTTCACAAAATGCACTCAAGAAGCAGCTCATGAATTTCACTGCTAAATGGAGAGAGGCATTAAAGGTGATCAGAGAGACTCTTAAATGTCACATGAGCCTTGAAGCTGAGTCATCTCAGAGATAAATCCACGGAGAGAAAACACGGGCTGAGCTGATAGTCTTCATGTGGAGAATGAGAGACACTTCTGAAAGCGTGCGCACACAGGCAGCTGTCGTTCTGATGGCCTCCAGCCCACGCTGGAAGAACAAGAACATCCCAAACCATCCCAAGAAGGAACCGTTTGTGATGCCTCCTGAAATCTTCATGACAGCTCCTGATGGGGTGGCTGGTGGCTCCACACCCCTTGCTGGGGCCCGGCTGCTCCCTCCTGAGGTCGGCATCACCCAGTGTCACAGCGGGAAGCAGGAGCTGGGGGGTAGGAGAAGAAGAGGTCCAGGTGGTTCTCACTGGTGGGCAAAGGTCTATAACAGAGAGCAGAGGGGCATGGAGAGATGCAGCCACTTGGGGAGGAGTGAGCAGGTCCAGCCGTGGGCTGGCCTGAGCCTGGAGCAGAGCCGTTGTGCTTTGCTCCACATCCACACGCTCTTTAAAAATGCCATTTATGGGGCAGAACCGCAGGTGCCTGTGCGGGTGTTTCTGGCAGTCAGGGCTGCAGAAACCCCCCAGTTGCTGCAGCACCCTGCTGTTGGGGTGGTTTTGGCAGTGGGTGAGGACAGCCATGGTCTGGAGGCACAGTGGGGAGTGAGGGCCCAGCACCCCCCATACCATGGCCTTGTGCCAAGGGCTTGTGCATTGGGGCGCTGTGTTTTATTCAGTGAAAATGGAGGTTATTTGGTTCACGTCAGCAGCGAGCCCACAGTGGCTGCTGTGCTTCTCTGCTGGGGTGTTTTATCTCATATGGAGAAACTCAAGGTGATGGAGGTGGAGGGAGGAAATGGGGCGAAAGGAATTGGTCCCGGGAAATTGAGGTTTGGCTGTGGCTGGAAACTTGTGCTCTCAGATGGAGACAAAGAACAACCCTCCCTGGGGCAAACACAGAGCAGGACTCCCTGGGAGGTGGGAAGGGGGAAGCATCACTTTGCCTGTAGTTCTTCCTGCTGGGGATAAAGAACGGTCCCTGGGTGGTGTGTGCTGTTTTCCTGGCTGCAGACAAGCACTAAGACACTGCCTGCGGTCAGTGACAAAAGCTGAGGCCAGCGTAAGGGCTGGATGTGCTTAATGATCTGCTTTGTTTAATGAACTAGTGAAATAAACCTTGGAGCTGGAATAGAAAATGAATGTTCCTCATTACGATGTGGAGCTTTTGATCTGCTCTGTCCCTGTTCTCCCCTGCAACAAACACACACAGTGGCCAAGTCCCCGTTAACAACCGCTTCATTTGGGGGGTCCTGCATTAGCACAAATCAATGGAAAGAGCAAAAACTGCCACGTTTATTCAGATTAATATGCAAATCAAGAGGCAAATGCATCCAAGGAATGTGGGTCACGGTGGAAATGTGCAGAGCAGCAGGAGAAGGGACGAGCGATGGGGAACTGGGGCACTGTCTCAAACAGCCTCCTCTACCTTCAGCTGGCGGGCACAACTCTGGCTCTGCTGGAGTTATTCAGTGCCTCTTGTGCGGCACCTTGGTTTTGTGATGAAGCTGAGAGCTTGTAAAGGCTCCTTTGCATTTCCCAGGGCTTTCATAGACCGGTTGTTTCCGTGCAGCACTCACAAGGGAACAGAGATGGCCGAACACCCATTTGAGCCTGGCCACGACAGCACTGCCTCATGTTTTCAAACAGCCACTGCCGGGAGGGCAAAGTCTGCCCCTTTGTGTGGAAACACGGCTCAAAGCCTGTTTGCAAACCTCTCAGTGCAGGTTTCTGAGCCGATGTGCCTCAGAACAAAGTGTGCCGAGGCACAGACAAAGCGAGGTATCTTTAGAAAGACAGACTGAGCCAGGGTCAGACAAATATCAGCTTTGCTGAGCTCCGATGCTGCTAAACTAATATCACAGCCAGTTTTGTTTGTGTAGGCGCTCCACTGAGTGCGCAGCATTCACAGGTTGCGGATGATGCTGCTCGTGCTGCTCACAGGTCTAAAAAAAATGATGATTTCGCTATGTAATATCAGTACTAACTGTGTGCTTTAAAGAAGGGACCAGGGTGATTATCTCCATTTTATAGCAGGAAAACTGAGACATGGCAAATAGACAGGCTGGTAACCAAGGGAAAATGCAACCCCGAGCTTCTGAATCCTGGTTCTGAGCCTTATTCACACCTTCCACCTCCAGCTTTCTGCAGCTCCCACCACAAAAGCCACCTCCACAGGGCAGGAGTGCAGCCCACGGGGCTTGGGTTTTTCATTTTATCCTCTCCTGCAATCAGCTTTGATGGTGCAGAAGGCAGCTCCCGGCTCTGGGCTGGGCCTGTGGTTCACAAGGCTGCCTGCCCAGCCCGAGGCAACACAGCCTCTAACTTCTAAAATGCCATTGTTCATTCACATGAAAATCTGACCATGTTCTACTGGATTTGGGCTTGACCAAGGAGAATCTGTGAAGCTGAGTGATCCTAAAGCAGTCCCAGCCTCCGTCTCTGCCAGGAAAACGCTCTCATGGTCACCATACAGTGTCCCTTCCCCAGAGTAAACAGCAACACAGGAACCCAGACCGCAGGAAGGCTGACGGACTGGTTTTACTTCAAACCGAAGGCAATATACGTACGTATTTGTGAGATTACAGCAGTGCATTCTCAACACCCGTGTGTGTTTGCACCTGAAGCCGTACGGCACTGGGTACATGGGTACATGGTACAACCTGGCCCTGTGCGATCTTTCCCTTACTCCAAGGAGGAACGAGCTGAGTCACTGCACAAACTCGCTGGCAGCGCCCGGCCCTCCCCACCCTCAGCACCGTCCCTCACCAGCTCCACACCTCGGTGTCGCACCTTTTCTGCCGCCTCCCCGGGAGCACTGTGAGGACCAGGGCTCTGGGGGGTGTTGCTGGGCATTTTTCTGCCACCCTGGCTCATTGTTGTGGTGCCTCCGAGGAAGGAATAGGCAGCATTTTGTTGCCATGAAGTCTTCTCTCAGCTGTGACTTCTTGCTTTTCCTTTGACTCAACACAGAAGCAACAAAACCTTCTCCCAGCTTTCCTCACGGTGAAGCCATAACCACGCTATACGGCTTTTACACACTTTAAAAGTGGAGAAAACTCTCCATCCTCAAACCTTGCCTTTGGATCAAGTAGGTTTTCCTCAGAGCTAGCACTGAAAACGCAGCTCTGCGATGTGAACAGGTACCACACATACAGCCATAACTGATGAACAAACTTCCCCATAAGGCCCAGTCAAAGGGGAGAGCATTTCCAGTTCACACAGAAACAAAACACTTCTACCAGGTAACAGAAATGGACTTGTGCTTCTGGGGTTTTGGGAAATACAGAAAAAAAAAAGGTGTTTAATGTCAGTAAACTCGGAAAGGCTTTTTAAAACAGAGCAACGGATTTATTTATTTTTATTCTGCTGGAACTCTGCGAGCTGACACAGCGCAGCACAAGTCAAGGTTGCAAATGACCATGCTGGTCAGTGGTCACAGCACCAGCTATGGAGCAAATAGGATTTCATTTTTTTTTTAAACCCTACTCCAGATATAGCAGTCATGAGGTGCTTGATCATTAACGTTTGCTTAACGACTTAATTAGTTCAATACGGAAGCAGACCCGTACAGAATAATCCAGTCTCTGCCGAGAGCCGGCGGCTCAGACCCCTCTGCAATCGCTGATTGCGCTCACAGCGAATGTCACCGACTCCAGGGACTTCAGGGAGAACATCTGGAAGTAAAAGAGGGCAATACTTCCCCCGTCAGTGCAGTCCCACAGCATTCCTTGCCCAGCGCTTGGGAAAAGCCACTTACAGCCAATTAGAAGTGCCAGGCTTAATAAAGGCTGAAAACAAATACATTCCTGAAGTCGCTGGCTTGGAAAGAAAGGCAAAGCATGCAAATAAGTGTTTCAGTAGGGAAACCGAACACCTGGCGGGGTGAAAAGCAGAGCAAGCGCAGTGTTACCGCAGATTTGCGCAGGTTTGGTGACATTCCTAGAGAAAATGCCACGGAGAGGCCCCAGGAGTCAGGCGGTTTGTGTCCTCAGCTCTGCCTCCTCACGTTAACTTCAGGCGAACAGTAATTAAGAAAACAATCATCTCACTGTCAAGGCGTTACTTCACCTGCAGTTAGCATGCTTTTTGGAGTAGTTCTATACATAGAACAATGACTTTAGAATACAAAAGAAAAGTCGGGTTTAGGTCAATGATTCATGCTGCTGAGATAAACATTGCTTTAAGAGGTCATGCAGACATTCTATCATGAAACACCTAACATAACATAAAGCCCAACTTTTATAAATACTTATTGTAAATAGGTCACAAGCAAAGGCCAAGTTTTAAATAAAAAGAGTCACAGACAAGCCTAACTTTGTTTCCAGTTGGCTGCTCAGAAACTCTGCAGGATCCCATTCCCGGTTTTTCAGTTCAGTTTTTCACTATCAAATATCAGCAAGGTTTTTTTTCAGATTAACTGATTGAACTATAGTCAAGTCGAAACGTTCACAGTATCGTCAAGACGTGGTCAGTACCACCTGGTCAAAAAGTCTTTCAGCAAGAGAAACTAACATTTAAAATGCTAACCTAGCTTCGAATCTGAGGTAGACAGGTCACGGCGACTCGAGCGCTGAGGGGTCGTTTTGTAAAGCTAATAAAATGCATTAGGCAATGACTGGGAGTGTCACGTTAGTATTTCTGATAGTCAGAAACTCTGCTGTGAAAAAGGTAAGTACACAACTTTTTTGTTAAAATAGAAAGATTCCTCTTCTGTTACCAAAATAATCAGAAACATCATAGAAAACTATGCATTTTTCCTCTAATAATTTAAGCCTGCTAACAAGCCATGTTACAGTAGCCAGCTACCAGCTTGCTGTTCACAGTGTAAAATACTCCACCCTTTACCTTACGCTTGCTCTCCAGCTGAGGAACACAGATCAAGAAGGCTGTGCCTTAAGCATTTTAACCTGTATACACACACAGAGGTTTGTTGTAGTTTTCCAACCATTAAGTATAAAGTTTGCAGTCTCTGCCAGGATGACGGTACACACGGCATTCATAACACTGCCTGGGCAGCTGCATCTCCACAGGCGCCTGTGAGCTGGGCTTCATACAGTGGCCTTTGGAGCCAGACCCTCTCGCTGATATCAACATCCAAAAAGACAGACACGGAGAGAAGAAATCCAAGCCGCCTCTGCGAGAGAAAATCAAGACCCCAGTCACATCATTAAACCATTTTGATCCCAAGAAGACAGAGGCTAGTGGCCAAAGAACAGCTCAGAAACGGGCCTGCGCTTCACTACAACCTCCTCTTCCTCCTCCTCCATTACCTCGGAGAGGGAGGAGTATGAAGGGAAGCCCCCTCTGGTCTTTGGCTTCCTCCTCGGGCCAGTGGTGGCAGCCAGGAGCTTGTTTAATGACGAAGGCTTCCTTAAACCTTTGGTGAGGTCGCAGAAAGCCATGTCATCGGATATGACCCCCAGGAAAGTGCTGGTGGAGCTCAAGATAGAAGCTGCAAGCTTTGTGCTCTTCTTGATGGGCACAGAGGGCTCTGTGTTGTGGGAAAGGCTGGGGTCCCCCAGCAAGCGCCTGACCGCAGAGGAGGTCCCTTCCTTTAAGTACTGGTGCGGCTTCTTCCCGCTGTAGTCCCGCAGGTCGATCTTGGCGTGGTAGCTGTAGACCAGCATGGTGATGATCTTCTCCTGGCCATGTATGGCGGCCAGGTGGAGCGCCGTGTAGCCGCCGTGCGACCTGGCGTCCACGTTGATGCGGGTCCCCCCTTTCTCGGCCGCTCTGATGATGTTTGTCACCATGTCGCAGTTGCCATTCTTGGCGGCCCAGTGCAGGGCGGTGAAGCCCGAGATGAAGTCTCTTCGAGCTGCCA